CCTCGGCAAAGTGGGGGGGCGTGCTGTGCTGCGGGCGGACTGTACAGACAGCAGCAGCGCTGCTGTGCTGCTGGAGCTGCCGGACGACTTAGCAGCAGCAGCAGCAGCAGCAGCAGCAGAAGCCCCGCCCGCGGACCCGCTGCAGCAATTTGACACCGAAAAACTGCAGGCAAGCCGCGCACAGGGTTTAGGGTTTAGGGTTTAGGGTTTAGCCTGTGGCCTTCAGGAGCCCAGTCTGCGGGCTGCGCGGACGCCGCAACAAACCGCTGCTGCTGCTGCTGCTGCTGTTGCTGCTGCTGCAGTCGCTGGAAGCTCTGCTGCACGAGCGGCTGTGCCCTCTGCCTCAATGGGGGCCCCCGGGGGCCCCCTCACAGGCGCCCTCGAGAGGGGGGCCCCTCCCAAGCCCGCGGGTGAGTCTAGGGCGTTTCTAGGGTTTAGGGTTTAGGGTTTAGGGTTTACGGTTTAGGGCCTGTGTGTGGGGGGCAGTGGGGACGCTAGGGTTTGGGTTTAGGGTTTAGGGTGTACGTAGCCAGCAAGCCCGAGTCCCCGCCGGCACCAAACCCTAAACCCTAAACCCTAGGTTTGAAATCTGCTGCTGCGCTGCTGCTGCAGACGGGGGCCCCCACCGCGCTGCTGCCCCCCAGGGGGCCCCCCTCCTCCTTCTTGGGGCCCCTCCCTAATGTGGGTGGAGATGATTTGAGGCCCCCCTTGGGGCCCCCCGGGTTGGGGGGCCCCCCGGGGGCCCCCGGGGGCCCCCCGGGGGGCCCCTGGGGCCCCGCGGGGGGCGGGGGGTCTCTTGTGGGCCCCGGCCATCCTCTCTTTGGAGTGGAGGGAGAAGGCGGCAGGTTAGTCTAAGCCCTAAACCCTAAACCCTAAACCCTAAACCCTAAACCCTAGGTGCAGTTCCACACTAACAGCAGCGGCTGCAGCAGCAGTTGCGGCTGCAGCGTGAGTGCAGCAGCAGCAGCAGCAGTATCTGCTGCGTCAGTGACTGCAGCAGCAGCAGTGGCTGCACCATCAGCGGCAGCAGCAGCAGCAGTAGTAGCTGCAGCTGCAGCAGCAGTAGCTGCAGCAGCAGCAGTAGCTGCAGCAAATCCACTCCCGCGTCCCTTTGTGTGCTGCTGCTGCTTCTGCTGCTGCTGCTGCTGCTGCAGAGGGGGGCCCCCCCTGCCCCCAGGGGCCCGCTATGACCCCATGGGGCCCCTGGGTACAGACCCAGCC